AAGGAGGGCGGCCCCGGCGGCGAGGACCAGCACCGCGACAAGCGCCTGCGGACCACCATCACGCCCGAGCAGCTGGAGATCCTCTACGAGAAGTACCTGCTGGACTCCAACCCCACCCGCAAAATGCTGGACCACATCGCGCGGGAGGTGGGGCTGAAGAAACGCGTGGTGCAGGTCTGGTTCCAGAACACGCGCGCCCGGGAGCGGAAAGGCCAGTTCCGGGCCGTGGGGCCGGCCCAGTCGCACAAGCGGTGCCCCTTCTGCCGCGCCCTGTTCAAGGCCAAGTCGGCCCTGGAGAGCCACATCCGCTCCCGGCACTGGAACGAGGGGAAGCAGGCGGGGTACAGCCTGCCCCCCAGCCCTCTGATAGCGGCGGACGAGGGCGGGGAGAGCCCCCAGAAATACATCTACTTTGACTACCCGTCTTTGCCGCTCACTAAAATCGACCTGTCGAGCGAGAATGAGTTGGCTTCGACCGTGTCCACGCCCGTGAGCAAGACGGCCGAGCTGTCCCCCAAGAACCTGCTCAGCCCTTCTTCCTTCAAAGCCGAGGGCCCCGAGGACGGGGAGAACCTGGGCGCCCCTCCCGCCGAGGCCGGGTACGACCAGAGCAAGACCGATTTCGATGAGACGTCGTCCATCAACACGGCCATCAGCGACGCCACCACGGGCGACGAGGGCAACGCCGAGGTGGAAAGCACCCTGGGCGGTTCCGGAGACGGGAAGCCGGCCCTGTCGCCGAAAGAGCCCAAAACTCTTGACGCTTTGCCAAAAGCAGCAACCACACCCACCGCAGAGGTCTGCGAGGAGAAATTCCTCTTCTCCCTCACCAGCCCCTCCATGCATTTCAACGACAAAGACGGTGACCACGACCAAAGCTTTTACATCACGGATGACCCCGATGACAACGCCGACCGCAGTGAAACGTCCAGCATCGCTGACCCGAGTTCCCCAAATCCTTTTGGGTCCAGCAACCCTTTTAAATCCAAAAACAACGACCGCCCGGGGCACAAGCGTTTCCGGACTCAGATGAGCAACCTGCAGCTCAAGGTCCTCAAGGCGTGCTTCGGGGACTACCGCACGCCCACCATGCAGGAGTGCGAGATGCTGGGCAACGAGATCGGCCTGCCCAAGCGCGTGGTCCAGGTGTGGTTCCAGAACGCACGGGCCAAGGAGAAGAAATTTAAAATCAACATCGGGAAGCCGTTCATGATCAATCAGAGCGGGACCGAAGGCACCAAGCCCGAGTGCACGCTGTGCGGGGTGAAGTATTCCGCCCGCTTGTCCATCCGAGATCACATCTTCTCCAAACAGCACATCGCGAAGGTGAGGGAGACCGTGGGCAGCCAGCTGGACCGGGAGAAGGATTACTTGGCTCCGACCACCGTTCGGCAGCTGATGGCGCAGCAAGAACTGGACCGGATCAAGAAGGCGTCAGATGTGCTGGGCTTGGCGGTGCAGCAGCCCAGCATGGTGGACAGCGGCCCCCTCCACGGCATCGGCCTCCCGGCTGCCTACCCGGGACTCCCGGGGCTTCCTCCGGTCCTTCTCCCCGGAATGAACGGTCCATCCTCCCTGCCTGGGTTCCCACAGAATTCAAACAGTAAGTCACTTCCGGGGCAGTCTAATGAATTAGTAATGTCAGGCAGCTGATGCTGAATAACTAAGAACAGGGTACATTTGAATCTCTTCATTTCAGTGAGTGAAGCCATTAAATAATTTAAAATATATATATTTTATTGGCTAAAATTAATAACCAGGAAGTAAGTCTACCTAAACTTATGTAGAAAAATAAAGACTAGCTAGGTTAAAAAAAAAAAAAAAAGACTAGCTAGGTCATAGCTAGTCTTAGAAATATATTCATTTATATCATTTCAATACTGTTTCCAAATGGCATTTCAGCACAAACATGTGGCATATTGTTGGTGAACGTACTAAGAAAGTGAAGCATTCACTGAGAAAAATGTTGGTGAACGTACTAAGAAAGTGAAGCATTCACTAATCCTTTATTGGTATCTTAATTTATATTCTTTCCAAGGGAGGCTTTCTTATTTGTTTTTTTGTTTTGTTTTGTTTTGTTTTGTTTTCTCTTCTCCCACTTAAGTGCCTGGAAGTTCAAAAGTTAAGGGCCTCTAGCCACAGGAATTCACCCACAATACACCTAACAGTCAATAAAGCTTATATTTAGTTTAACTACTAACAGTATAACTTCTGGGACAATTTTTAATTTGATTATAAAGATTTTGGACAATAAGATTTTGATTTTTATAGCAGCCATTGTTGCTTATTATTTAAATTAATGTGCAACCTTAGAGGTATATTAATATTACCCCATGCCCTCCTGCTCCTCGCTCCACCCCAGCCATATAATTAAGTCAAACAAAATTATAAAGCTTTCTGAGGCAACCCCAGAAGATTAATCCAATTCGGTGCTCATCAAGAGTAATGAAATTTGTGCAGGTTCAGAACATTTTATGAATGAGTAAAGGTATGTGGTTCTATTAGGTTAAAACAGTTGAATACAGTAAGCTAGGCAAAGACATAACCAAACATATAACAAATGTTAAATGTTTTATATGTTACATAAAAATTATATATTATCCAAAATAGAAAAAAATGGTTCTCTTATAATTTCTTCTTTAAAGTAAGTTTTATTTTTCAAATTAACAGTGATATTATTTTTTCTTTTTGAAAGGGGATTTTGACATTATAAACTTATCTAGAATTAACTAATTACATATTTCTAGAAAGGTTCGAAAACACATAGGCTAGCTTTTTTATTTACACAAATTGGACTTTTACATAAATGTCAAACTTTTCAATCTCACCCTTTTTTTAAATTAAATCTTTATTGTTGAAAGTATTACATATGTTCCCTTATTTTCTCCCATTGACCCCTTATAGCCCTCCCCCCTCCCGCAGGCCTCTACCACCCTATTGTCTTTGACCATGGGTTATGCATATATGCATACACATTCTTTGGTTCGTCTTCTCCCCCCTCTCCCCCCAC